CTCACAGACAGAGCAGTGCAAATTCAAGTCTCCCAGTTGCTTGTCCGAGGTTCCTGATCATGACATTATAGGATCATTTTTCTAAATGCAGCGGCAGCACAAAAATTCCTTGTTTCATTTTTTCCATTTGTATGTTAAGACTCTTCCAAATCAGGGGAGAGGCAGCTTTGCACCCGCTCAGCTGAAGGAGGGCACTGCACACCAGTTGCCAGCTACATGCCAAGAGATCTAACCATCTGACGCCAGGGCAGGCAGACAACCCTACCTCCTCTGCTGGCTCCCTGCTCAGAGGTGTGCCCAGCACACAGGTTTTTCCCAGTTGCAGCTCCGAGGTCTCTACAACCCATGTGCCATGTAGGGAAGCCAATGTGTGGCCATGGAGTCGTTCTGGTCATCCTTCAAAGTCCAGCCCTGAGCTGCCTGAGGTGCCAATTCATAGCTGTCATGAGAAGGACCACAGTGTCCCTTCCCTCAGCTGCTGCCCTGTACCAAACACGTGAGAAAGCACTTTCAGACACCTCTTCCTTCTCTCCTTCTGAAGGAAATACACAGAAATAGAACTGGGCACTGTAACATCAGTGGGTTTAGCTACCAGCAGGAAGAGGGTATGAAGGGAAGGATGTGGGACAATGAGCAAATCCTCATATGATGCCTGGCTTTGACAGGATGTGGAGCAGCCCATGAGGCTGGCAGGTGGGATGAGGAATGAACAAGCCCAGCTCATTCTTTTAGTCAGTGACGTAATTGTTAATGAAGGCTTTGAATGAGCAAGACTCCTTGCTTCCTAAATAAGTATGAAGGATCTCTTACCTCCTGGGAGAGCTGCGGTAGCACAGCAACACCAACAGGATCCAGTCTCAGCAACATGTTGCAGGGTCCTCCTACATGAACATACCTGCACAAGACAGTAAGAACAGGACAGCAGATATTTCTAGTTCCTGCACCTGTGCGCAAGAAATTGTTTACATTACTGTGCCCCAGGTCCCTCCAAGCAGATCTACTGCCACTAGACCTAAACTCCCTGGCTGCTCCCAGCACATCACATCTGGAACAGACACTGAAATATAACAGCAGAAGGTGAAATCCTGCTCATGTGAGCTCCTGCTCTGCATTCCCAGTGGAAGGATGAGGCCCAAACATCTGTCCCACAAATGAGCAGAGCAAGCTGTTAAGCAGGTTGAATGACTGTAAGCAAAACAAGTACTCCCTCAACATGTTCAGCAACTTCAGGAAGAACACACGTAGAATGCACAGGACAGCCCAAAACACCTGAAGAAGGGGCAGCGGTAAAGAAATCCTCCCCAGAGGGGTCTGGGAAGGGTTGTGAGTCTATTGATATGTAATTGCCCCATGACAGTACAGGAGGCCAGGCTTCCCACAGCACCACGGGGTGATACTCCCTTTGCAGCCAGAGAAGAGAGGTGTGCCCAAAGCACAAATGCCTAAGCAGCAGAGCCTACCACTCATGTTGAGCCTCAGGGTCTTTCCTATGTCCTTGCCAACTTCCCCAGGCTCCTGCGTAAGTTTCTGCCCTTTCCTTGACTTCTCAGACCTTCAAGAAAAGACAGACAGCACTGAGGGCCAGACTGTGCAGACAGAGTATGTCCAAAAGATGGAGATATTGCTCCCTAAGGCATGCCGCAGAGTGGGAGTACTATCCCCCAGACTGCTGTAAGAGGTGTTAATCTTAGGACATCAAAGGCCCAGTCAAGCCCGATACAGCACTGTTCAGCAGAAAGAACAGGGCATGGGTTTATCACAGTGTCTTGTAGAGAAAAGAGCAAAAAAGTCTTGATCAGCATTTGTTATGCAGGAAGAAAAGAGATATCAGAAAAGTACAGTAAATGTGAAGACACAGATGGGGAGGAGGGGCATCTATCAAGAAATTAGCTGCCACCAGCATCATTCAAAAAAACCCCACGTACTAGGCTAAGACCACAACCAAACATCTGCACTAGGGCCTGAGAAAGTGTAGAGCTTCACACCAGATGACCGCTGTATTTGTGGCACAACTCTATTAGCAGAAGAGTTAGAAGACACTCGGTAATTCCTAGGTATTAATGTAAATATTTATGACTCCCAACACTGGTATTTTCATCTTCCTGGAAGAAGGCACATACCAGTACAGTTTTAGAGCTCCAGGTGGGCAATGAATTGTTCAGCACACCTGTAGAGGGGATCAACAAACCTCCAAAACACTTCTCAAGCAGCACTTCACATCTCTGGGAGGTAGACATTTGCTACACTCAGGATTAAACTGGTCCCGCAGAAATGCTACAAGTAGACTGCACCAAGTCTATGTTGATTTGAATTTCTGAAGGAAGACCTCCTTTGGCAGGGTTTTGGAAGTAGGAAAGTGTGGAAAAATATGAGTGTGGGTCATAGGGTATGGTACAGCTCTCACTGCTCCTCAAAGTGGTGTCATGCAGCAGCATACATCACAGGGACCATGCCCACAGAACATGTCACCATCACCTCCCAGCTGATGCTTACCCTTCCATGACCTTGCTATTGTTCATCTACTCTACATTCATCTAATTTAAAGGTCTGGTGGAAAAATTTGCTCTTACTCAGTCTCCAGCTTCTGCTTATCTGCCAAGCCAAAGGCAGGGTGAGACAGGTCAGTAGTTAAGTCCAACTGCTATATTAGGAACAGCAGTTCTGACCCAAAGGCTTGGTGTGGCAGAACCATGACTAAAAACTTCACTTTGTGGAAGGCGAGGATAGGAGTCAGAAATCTGGGAAGTGGTAACTGCACTTTAACAGGGCTTAGGCGCCTGGACAGTATAGGAAATGTGGAGATCACCAAGGATGCCTGTGCTCTTAGTGCTTTAGCTGTTTAAAGAAGCAGGAGAAAACTGTAAGATATAAATACCAAAAGGCAGTGTGAACACAGAAGCTGACATGACACAGAAAAACATTTAATCACTTAAAATACAGAGTAAGCATCGAAGGGTATCAGATGACTCTTCCCCCACTCCAACATGTTTCAGAGTACCAGTCTGAGGCAAGAGACTTCCCAAGTTTGATCCCGTGGGCTAAACATGCACCTACTTTCCCACTGGTGCAAAACAGCAGAGAAGCAAGACATTGAGCATTGGCCCTTCTCTTCTGCTTACATAAAGAAGAAAGGCAAGATCTAGCTGAAATGATGAGTGCTTCCTACAGGCTCATGTCTCTTGATCTGAAGAGATCTGGGAAAGTTGGGGGAACAAGTCCTTTGGAATAATAAGCAACGTCCAAATTCCATAGATGAGATAGGAGATCAAGTTGGATGATAAAGTGCTCAACACAGCTTCTTCCAGAAGAAATGTGCATACATATATTCACTTAAAATATAGTAAGTGTCCCCAAGTCCATGCTCTGAGACCACTGTCATAAAACCCAGCAGCATAAACGAAGAACCGTCCATAAGCAAAATATCTTCAATCATTCCCTCTGCAAAACCTCGAAGATGGGAAAAGACAGGCTTTACAATGTTTGGTTAAAAACCCTGCACTCTGCTGCACTTGAAGCAGTGCTGTACATAGAAATCACTTTTAACTGCTAATCATTGCTGCTGCAATGCCTGCAAGGTGCAGATTTTGCTGCTGGAAATGCACTCTCAGGGACTCCAAATACTGGATGTAAAGACGTCTTTATGTAAGATACTGGCTATGGCATATTTCTGGCCTATTGGCTTTCACCTCTCAAGAGTAAGAGGGGCCATATTCTACATCCATATCCTGTCTCCAAGTAACTAATGGCTGGGAAGCAATGTCTTCTCTTGTCCTGTGTAGCCTCCAGTGTATTTTTCCTCTCTAACAGATTACCCTTTCAATTCATAGACAGTTTCTGCCTTATTCTCTTAACAGGCCTCACAAACTTCTGTCCAAAACACACCCTGACTGCTGGCTCAGCTCGGTAACAGCGGGGTGGTTGAAGGCATTTTATGGAACAAGCAGAGAGCCATGATTATAGGTCTTTATTCTCATATTAATAAAAAGTGCTAAAGCAGATGCCAATGACCACAATTTGGCACCAGCATGATTTCTGGAGCCTCCTGCCCATAAACATAGGAAAGGGTTCAATTTTGAACACATGGCTGTCCCATATTCAGAGTACAAAAGGCATTGTCATCTCTGGACTAGTGGTCCCATGAATTCTACTGGCTTGCTGGCTTCACAGCATCAGCACCACAGACACTACATGATCTCTGACCTGTAAACAGCACCAGGTCAGATGGTGGTGTACTCTGAATCCTGTGTTCCCATGGCATGGATAACATGAGTCCAGGTTTAAATTACATAGCAGGAAAGGGGTTAAAGTTTAAATGACTGTTTTGTATATGAATTAATGTATGTAGCTTTGAGCCAAAATATCTACCATTAATTTTTCCACCTATTTCAGGAGCAGTAAGATACACAAAGTAAAGTTTATTTTGGTACTTGGTATACTTCACTCTCATTAAAAATAAATTAATCAGCAAATTCCTACACAGCTCAGCCTTCTTTTATGTAAATACAACCCAGCTGTAATGAATTACAAGGTGTTATTATCTCACACACACTGTATAATACTTCACACATAAGAGGTTTCTCTGCTTAGCTCAGCTTTCAACAAAAGCATCTTAAATAAACTGCAAGCAAGTTGTTTGGTCTGTAATGTTTTCACAGAGAAGGGATACACCTCACACATAGAGGGTTTCTTTACATGACTCATTTTATAACAAGTTAAACTGAGGAAGTTCGCCTTGGAAAAAAAATAACAAAATGCCTTTTTTATACACAGAAGGCTCCCTAAGAGAAGATTAAACAAAAAAAAAAAAAAGCAAGCCAGTGTTTGAGAGCCTATATTCTGCACCCCACTGCTCTTTACACAGAGAAGGGATGTCAAATATTCCTCAAAACACACAACGTGAAAAAAGCAACTTCAGAAGGAAGAATAGTCACAGCCAGGCAGTCACACTTTCACCAGATTAAGGATCAATTTAACAAATTAAGGGTTATCACCTTTGACTCTTAATAGTTTTATTAGGAATAAATCCTGATATTATAGGGCTTATTCTTATCAAAAGCGCACATGGCACAGAAAACACATACACATCAATTTTACCCAGACTGACATTTATTATTGACTAGGATTTTAGACAGGAGAAAAATGAAAACTGTTTTTGTCACTGACTCGGAAATAGCCTGATGAACCATCCACCTACACAGTACACCTCAGCCTCTGCTTATTTAATCAGTGGAGCTCTTGCTCCTGTAATTACTATGTTGGCGTAATTTGCCTGCACAGCCATATAAAGTTTTCACTGGGGTTGATAGGTCTTGTTAAAAAGCCCTGGACCACTGCTTTGGGGGGTGGAGGACAGCATAGTCCTGTCCCACTAAGAGCCATGGATAGAAACAGAGATGTTCCTTTCATAAATAAATTCTTAGACCACAACTCTAAAAAGAATATGGAAATATCAGCAAGGCAGGCTGAAATACCAAGTACTCTGAGGCAGCTTTTAGTGACAGTCAGACACATTTTTGAGTTTATTCTCATTAGAGTCATAGAGAATTACTGGGGACTGCACATTATTCTTTGCATCCTCCTATCCTTGTGCAACAGAGCAGAGAGCTCCTAAAACGGATTTTCACAGAAAACCCTTCAGAATCTGTTAAAGCAATTCTTAACTCCACTAAAGCAAAAATGGACCATTCCATCTTGGTATCAGGCTTTTAAAATACATTAACATCTAATACGCAAAGCTCAGATTTGCATTCATAACCATTCAGTGAGCAAGGAACACCGTTGTGTCTCTATGTAGCAGCTCTCCAAACAAGGCAAAGGACAGAAATGTCTTCTTGAGATAACTCTAAGTCATGGTAAAATATCTGCTTTTCTAAAGACAGAAGGCAGGTCTTTCAATTTGTCAGCAGGGATCACTCAGTGCCATAAAAAGGACAGAGGTTCTCAAACCAACTAACATTTATTCGTGAGTAAACATTCAGAAGAGTATGGCTGTCCAGTTTGCTACTGAGGCACCACAGATAGCATACCTAATTAAATATTTTCTTTTCAACAGCAGTTTCCTTCCTGACCTCACAGCCTCACCCCAGTTCAATTTCAGGCTTGCTTCCCAAGCTGATCTGACAAATTGATAGAAATGTCAGGCACTGGCACTCTCAGAGTCCTTCGTCATTGTAAACAGGGGAAAGGGGCTTGAGGATGCTGCGGGCGTTGCTCTCCACGAGCGGCCGCCAGCTCACCTCACCCGTCAGCAGTAGGTCCTCCCCGCTCAGCGCATCCAGGTGCTGTACCTGCAAGGACAAGAGCGTTAGTGCAAGGTGTCCCATCACCCCTTCAAGTTCCTCAAGAGCTACGCAAACATGTTGCTGTCCAGAAAGCAAGCAGAATGGGGAGATTTTAGCATACTTTGCCATTTGTGTGAGGTAGACCTAAAAAGATAATTTAGGACTGCTTAAGTGGCATGGAAAGGCCAGGAGATAAGTATCTGCAGATCCACTGGAGGTAACTGCGTAAGGTCTTCTACTGACACCTTAGCTAATGCCTCCTCAGAGCATGTGGCAACAGGACAAAGAGCCACACAAAGCTAACATGAGTCAATTTCTCTTCCCAGCAGTTAATTCAGATGACACAATGCTAGTATCATAATCTACGTGGAGTGCTCTCTAAAAAGTGGTTTCAGGTAGACCAAGGCTTTTCACTACAGAAAAAAAGCCTGACCAACAGGAAACACCTGAGATTTATAATATAAAAGCACATGAGCTGGAGGGGGTGAGTATGGAATGAATGCTCATTTTTACAATGCAAGAAACACTTGGGATCAAATGAAATTTAAGGTGCAATGTAAGCAAAATAAAAAGAACCCTCTTGTCACACAACAGAGGGTTAAGTTGCTGCTACAGGATACTGTAATGGTGGGGGGAGGTTGGGGTGGGGGAAGAAAAAAAAAAGTCCATCAAGGGTTAGTAAAAGACAAAACCAGCATTTCTGACTCAGGGCGTCTGTGAATGCACACTGTAGGAGTCTTGACCAGGGAAATAGTACACATGCTTGCCCTATTTCTATATTCTTCTCTGGCATTCATTGTTAAAAGACAGGATCAGCAAGAAATTGTGGGAAAGACCTGTACACAATGCTTACTGGAAACAAATGATAATTGGACAAGGAATTTCTCAACAGGAGAAGGAATACACCAATGACCACAGAGGGTTAGACCGAAGAGCCACCTAAGCACAATATCCTGTTTCTGACAGACACCATCAGCAGATTCCCTGGGAGGAGTTGCGTACAATGTGTGCATACAATGTTATCTTCCTTGTTTATTTTCCCTCCTTCTCAAAATCTGTTAGTTCAGGGATTTTGAACCCGAAGTGGTTGTTGTGGATTTCATAGCTCTGGACAGACTTCTCTTCCATAAACCTTGCCAGTGGCTTTGAAACCCATGTGCAGTTGTAGTATCCCAAACAACCTGCAGCAACGTTATGTCCCCACAGCCTTTTCTTGCTCACCTTTCATATGCCTTCAAGATTTCCCAGAGCTGTCTCATATTCTTTTCTCAGCTGTTTTTCAGGCAGGGGATCCTACACATTGCTAATAAATAAGCTTTTTCATGTCACCTTTACCGCTCTTCTCTGAGGCTTCTTCAGTTCAGTTTTTATCTTTCTTGAGGGTCAGAACCCAAACCATACACATTATTCAAGTTCACAAGGGTACCATGAATTTAAAAAGTGGCATGACAATGCTGTTTTATTCTCTATTCCTTCCTTTGTAGTTCTAAGCATTTGTTTTACTTTTTTTAAACACCACAAAGTGCTGAGCTGACATTTTGATAATGCAGTTATAATCTCAAGGACTCATTCCTGTACGGTAACAGACAGTTTAGAACTCATCAGTGTCTATATAAAGCTGGGACTGTTTTTTGTAAATGCACCCCTGTAGAGTTGTCTACAGGAATGACCTGTCTTCACAGAAGCTGTGATGATTCTTCCCCAATGTGCCACATTTATCTGTGTGATCACTGTTTCCTATTCAGCTGCTGATAGATTCTGTCCTATCCTTTGCCTGAATATACACAAGTGCAACAAATTCCTCCCTTGGCAGCATATTGTCCCAAATTACATACTTTTTATACGTGTTTGCTCCCTGTCAATCTTCAGTTTTAAACTTTCCTACAACCTCACTTATGGTAAGAATCAGCAACCTTACACATTAAATTAAGTTTGTCCCTCCTGATAAGCCCTCTAGCATTCCAAATGTGTCCTCAGTCCCTTATAAAGTTCAGCCCTTTACTTCCCATACCATCTTCTCAGACACACACTGAAATATCATCTCTCCAAATCTCTATCTGGTCCTGAATACAGTATTTGAAACATGACATAAAATGCTCTTGAGGACGTTCTGGTCTTCAACTCCCTGTCCAACAGCCTACACTCTTCCTCCAGAACCTCTGTCACCCCTCTTCTGTCTTCGGTACCCTCCTGGACTATATCCTACCAACACTTCCTAGAAATCTGGTTCACAAACCTCCTAAGGGTTGAGAGAACAAACACTACTTAGTATTGTTTCCTCTAGGTAACAACTGAAAGAAACAGGAATAATTCTAGAAAACAAACCCTTTTACTTCTTTCTCACAAAGATCATCAGGAGACTTTCAAGCTCTGTGTGCTATTTCATTATAAAGAGGATCCCAACTCCCTGACATCAATTGTAATTCTACAACAAGTCGCAGCCCATTTCTGACACATTTTGTGAAGCCCCTCCATAGCATAGGTCCAGAAAAAGATGAGCAGGATTGCTTTCAATATTCTGTGAATTTCTCTGCAGCCATTTTTCAAACTGCATTAAATATCAGATAGTTTTTATATTTTTGCCTTTTTCCCCCCTAAAAATAATCACTGAATATGAGGAAAACTGAGCTACATGGTATACAAGCAATAAAAATAAATATTTAATATTCTAAACAAGAGAACAAAGAGAATTCACACACTGAGCTGTAGTGTACCTGTTTGCGTACATACTCTACAAGTAACTCCAAATGCCGAGGGTCCTCACAGTTCTTGTTAAAAAGGTTTCTCCAAAGAGCTGCTGCCAGAACATGATCATCAGACAAGATTCCCTAAAGGAAGTACAGAAGGGATTAAAAACTGCACATGAAGAGGGTCTGAACACAAGACAACATGTTACTCTACTTGGCAACTGACAGTATGAGCTGTCTCAAAGCCCACAGCTGGTATGGGCTGTACATCTGAAAAGGCATCAACGCCACTCTTTCCCAAAATGGAAAAACGACTCTGGTCTTAAATTAATTTACAGAGCAGCCTGTAACAAATACTATGGTAAGTTAATTTGGAAAAAAAAAAAACCAACAAAAAAAACAAGGGTCAGGGTATTCCTAATACAGGAGTCAATAATTACAATTCTACATTATGAAATATTTACCATAAAAATTTTGGCCTTACAGAGAAGACAGCACCACATCACAGTACTGTGTGAAGCCCATGACACTTGGAAAAGAAAAAATTAAAGGATGTTGAATACAATGTTGCAGAAACATAGTCAGGACTTTGCTATTTTGCTTTGCTTTTCTATTTTTCATTCTAAATGAGAGAGAACTCCTCCTCATCAAGAACTATCTAGATATTTCCAGTTAAATCTAATATTAAATTTGGCTTATACAGGAATCATATCCAAGAGTGCTTTTTGTCTAAATTCTCTCCCACTTTTATTGTCTTTTCAGATTATGTGGTGCTATGACCATAGTCTCATAACTCTTGTCTTCTGCTGATACATTTGCCAAAGGCAAGAGAGATTTTAAAATATTCAGTTAAAAATAAAAAAGGTCAACATTTGTCTTTAATTTAACTAGACATTTTGTTTCCAAAAAGAGCATCAACAAAAAGAGAAAAGAAAAAAGACAGACACAGGCAGACATATCCTGGCTGTACTTAAAACTAGATTACAAACTTGCATGTGTAACATTGTCCACAACTCTATGAAGTTTACATGTACAAGATACTAATAATGAAAATCACTGTGCAAAAAATACTATCAACCATGTGAAAGAGGAACAACCACTAGAGCAAAAAAATAACTACTAAAAGAGATGATGCAATTGTATTTTCTTCTAGAAAGTCCTGCACAGTGCACATGTGCACAGTGGTGCCTTTGCCTCCCCATATTATTAGATACTTCCTATAAATACCCTCTCAGTAGACTCCCTGTAAATACTCTCTTTGCTTTCAAAGTATAGCTGAGCACAATGGGATTCAGAGGGACAAAATGATTTATTGATGGTGAAGTAGTACAAAGAACATCCCTCCTCCCATGTCTCATGGTTTAAATCGATATTCTGTGTGCTTGCTTTCTTCTTAAAAGCACTTTAATTCAAGGCATAACATGATTGCAATAACTAATAAGTCTGCTTCCATAATGTAATACTTCTCCAAAGATATGTACAGCAAATGTTTTACCCATCTGGAGTATTCTGTGTTCATGAATTAGATTGTCTACTTGTTCTTGCACATCCTCTGAAAACATCCTTCTTACCTCATCATATCCAAATAGAGCTGCATAGAAATTTTCTACCATAGTTCTTAAATCTTCCTTTAGAACAACAGAATTAATCTGAAAAATAAACCAGAAAACCATCTGTACAGGCTCTGAAGAGGAGGTGATGAGAAAATATTATCAGTTTCACTGAGTAGGCAAAGAAACAGTGCCTTGGCCCACACAGCTTAGGATTTGGCTTTAAGAGATGATGTTAATGCAATCAAAGATTTTAGAACAACATGCAATACAACTCTGTTAATTCTGCACACAAATGAAAGCCAGCATTACCCAGAATATATGAATGGCAGAAAAATCCTCAGACAACAGCGCAGACATACAGGCATATAAGCAGAGAAAAAATGCAGCTGGGGAAAGAGTGAAGGCAAGGCTGTCCTTTCAGTGGCAGCATAGGCTAAGATAACGAAGACTCCTCTGTATTTTAATTATTAAGCAGGTTTTCCAGACCATGATTCATTCACACAGGTCTTTTAGACACTCAGAAGTTTTCAACTTTTTTTTTTTTTTCTAAAGCATGGACTGTGGAGCTGGATGTGCTATTACAGTAAAAGGACTGCAATGCTAAAGATAGAGGCATCATTCCTACCACTACTCCTTACTTATTTGTCAACATTGACTTTCTCCTTCAGGAATCACATGAATTCTGTTTCTACAGCACCTCACTAGAAGCTCAGACTTACTAGTTTTTGACTACGACTAAATTTCTTTCAGTTTGTGATGATCCAGCTACCTCCCTCCTATGCTGTAAGTGTGACTCAGTCCAAGTTCCACACTGACTGTTAACTAAATGTAAGTTACTGAAGTATTTGCTGGTTTGGCCTAAACTATCCATTGGCTTGCAGAACTGACCCCATGTCAGCTTAAGACAGAACCAAAAGAGATCAACTGCTAGGTCCAGAGCGATGGCTGAAATACCCTGCATGCATCTCTCTCATATAAACGGTTTATTCCTTTCGCCTGTACTTTTTACTTCTATCAAACAAAATAATTCAATGACCAGTTCCTCTCCTGAGGGTTAAGCTACACTTCAATTGATAAAGCTTTTTCTTTGGATTGTCTCTCATGAGAGATCTAAGAGATACCAAGCATTTCTTTTCTACAGATCTCACATATGACAAGGATAATTGTCTTCGTACCCACATACTCACAGAACACTTAGCTATGAGACTGTATCCTGGAGACAGGTTTTTAAAAAAAGAAACTGCAAACAGGAATACAGGGTAGGACATCAGTTCTGCTACAGAATAACTACTGCTCTTTGATGTACAGCTTATCACACTTCTAACAGTGTGAACCACATGTCCTAAATACTTTCTTAGTATCCTTAAGAGTAATCACCTTGGTAATTATGCCAACAGCTTTTCTAACTGAATATGAATTAGTTTTTGCTACACTAGCAAATCTCGAGTTCAAATATCCTTCCATTAAGCCACTATCTTTTTTCATCTGTTGATTTTTATAGAAATGCATATAGTGCAAACACAAGGAAAATTCCTTTTATGTCAGTTACTCATATTTTTCCATTAATATAAACTATTAAAATTCATGCAGATATTTTATAGGCTATCAAGATTTGGAGACTGGTTATTACTGAATGCTTAAAAAAAGAACTAAACATAAGAAATCAGAGGGTTAAATGATGACTGCAACTTCTGTAATGACTTAATTAAATTTTTATTGAGTACATAAACTATGATGTCATTTCTACCCAACCATGCTCAAACTTTCTATGCATGTCAGAGATCGTGGTTTTTCTCAATAGAACGTACTTCTAAATAAGCTGCACTTCTACAGCTCTAATAAGGGGGAGCAGGTCTCATGTAACACACTCAATAAATTATCCTTCCATTTTAAACAAACAAATTCCATGAGTTATTATATATTTGCCACGCACTTTTTATGACATAATAAAAATGTTACCTTAAGGATTACTTAACACATACTACAAATGTTACAGCAGGCAACTGCAAGGGGCAAAGAAAACAAATAGTCCCATTACAGAGACAAGTCCTGGACTATACATCCCTAGGGACGCAGCTTTCTATACTAAAAACAAAGAGCAGCAGCTTTAAGTTAGCAAGAAATAGATTGATGAGGGAGATAACCAAGTTAAACAAACATGGCAATAAATACATCTTAAAAGACAAACAGTTTAAAATATAAAATATGACTTCGGGGATGGAGCAGTATCTCAGGCAATAAAATTACATTTAAAGCAATATTGCAGTTTCTGAAGAATACAACTGGCATTAGTTAAGTACAAATGTTGCAGGAAGAAAATCCTTCTTTATAAGACAAGAAAAATGAGTAAATCCAAATCAGCGTTTGCTGGAAATGCTTCCTCCTTTTATGCTTGTACATGTTCTTACCACTGGCAGGTTTCATGATCTAGTTGGTCATGATTCTGCTGACTCTTCCACAGTTTGTTATTAAGAAGAAATACTGTTAGACAATTCCAAGTGAGTAATTGCTAATAACAAGAATAAAATCAGTAACATCTGGAGCTCTTCTAGGGACTTAGCCCCTTTGCCTTCTTTGGAACAACCCATTGCAGAGCTGTCACCAGAATAAATTTATATACCACTGCCTAAAATGACACACAGAACTATCTTAGTTCAAAACAAGGAATAATCTTTGGTACATCTCTCACATTTACAAAACCTTTAAAAAACAAGAAACTTACAGCTTACATACCTTCCTGCTACATGTCACAGCTTCTCATTGAAACACTCCATGATCCCACATTCTGCCTGCAAGACAACTACAGCCTGTGACTACTGCATTTTCATTATTATATTGCCATAAGAAACCTCATCCTCAGCCTCAACGAGTTCAATATGCATCATTCAACAGCCAACTGTGAGGCTTACTGCTATATCCAACAATTTACAACATCAAGTGTCAGTTAAGGTTTTGTATTCTAACAACATTTCTAGGAAAGTAAGAGCACACTACTTCATTGTATGTGCTAGACATGTATGAAAATCTTATGTATGGGCAGTTTTTAAAGTGAAAGCTGCTATAGGATTAATCCACATTAATGTCTTTTGTTGGATTGAGAGCATTCTTTTCTAATGGATCTCCTCCTGATCACCCCTTACCAAACTTTTGTTTACACTGCGGAGAAGTCTCAGCATGCACAACCTGGAAAATGTGCTCTAATGCACTCTACCTGCTAAGAGCCCACAGGATCGGCCTAGAACCAGCACAAGGCAGAGATCATCCCCGTGGAACAGGGATGCTGGATCGTCAATTGTTCCACTCCACAAACGTGTTCCTGTCAGATCACACTAAATGCTAGTGTAGACATAGCTGTGATGTCCATGAGCTCTACTATTTGAAAGCACTTTAACAGAAGTTTCTTTCCGTTATGGCTTTTGCCAGCATGTGCTGCACCCTTAAGCTACTTTAACACATTAATCCGTCCATAGACTATAAAGCTAGAAGGGACACTTCTAACTGCACCTTGTACAAGCACTAGTCATTGAATTTCATGCAGCAATTCCTCTCTTTAGGCCATAAGTTATGGTTGAACTGGCTTTTTTTATGAAGAGATTTCAGCCAGAAGAAATGATTAGATCATAGAACTTGACCCTCTGCATTATCACAGACCGTTACATTTCACTGGGTTCCCTCTATACTAAGCTCTGTAAGTTGTGTTTGGCTAAAGCATATCACCCTCACAGTTGAACATGTGTATCCCATTTCATATTTGAATTTTCTGGCTTAAGTTTCCACCCCCTCATTCTCACTATACCATTCCTGCTAGAATAAAAAGCTTCTTCTGTACAATGTATTTGCTCCTGTACCTGTACACAGTAGATGTGTCAGCACATCCATTGTTTCAAACCCAGAGTAGGCTCTTTAAGGTAATGTTTACACTGATACACTACATCAGCGCACTCCTGAAGTAGTCAAAGTCGTAACAGCAAAGTAGTGTTTTATGTTGATACAGTACAAATTAATCCATCTCTCGTGGAAAAGCAAGTTACACAGGTATGAGTTCACTTCGTTGTTATGACTGAGCCTGTTCTGGGGACTTCTGTTAGCCACACTGATATAAACATCAACTCACTTATTGACACTTTAATTACTGGAGCATTCAATAGCAGAAGTTCCTGAAGGAGGTACAGGACAAATCTCTCATGATAAAAAAAATGTCACTCCTCAAACATTTAGGCTTTTTTATGCACCTTTTCACAAGTTGCATTAATATACAGTTTACATTAGTTATAAATAATATATAACCAGATAGTTATATACGGGCTTTTTAAGTGTTTGCTGCACTTTTAATAAACGCACATGACATTAAATGGGAAAAACCTGCATTCAGCCCTTTTATTTCCTCCAATAACATGACTAGTACTTGTAGGACAGTAATTGTGAAAATGACTGAGACAGCAGCTAGGATCAAGAAGATTAAATTAATAGAACAGATTAAAAATATCTCTGTAGCAAGGGGCCAAAAAGGCCAGTTCCTTCAGGCAATCTCACATAACTGTCAAATGACAAAGATATTGCAGAAATTATTTTTCCAATTTACAATTTTTGAGTCTTTTATTAATCACTCTGTTACTCTGTCTGCAAACAAGCTTACTGGTTTGTAATTAGCTATAGCTGTGAGTCCCCATGGACTTCAGATTGTTAACTTTTCTGATAAATATCTTTCTAATTAAATGTAACTAATTTTGTAATTAGGTAATTAACTACAGAGAATAGTCTTTAAAGCCTTCTTCAATGTTCAGTGACAACCTACTTGAGTATTCTATTAACCAAGACAAAAGCTGAATGTTAGATCATAGCAGAACCAGTTCCTGCCAAAATCTTCAATCCATAAAAACGTTAAAGGAAAGACTTCTGCCTGCTCTGCTACCTTTATAACAATTGCATAATCATCAATAACACTCCTTAGAGCATTTTTATTTCAAGCAGACATAGAAAAGCAAGTTATACAACATTATCTACATATTTCAGCAAAACCAGATGGTCACCCCTAGCTGTTTGGTATCAAGAAAATGAGGTATGTTTCTATCTTGTAGTCTATTAATTTGGAAACT